TTACTTTGCATGATAGACAGGCAACATGTGAAAAGAAAAAAAAAAAGGACACGAGAAAAATATTGCTTTACAAACCTTATGACTCAATAAAAAAATTGATATTATGTGTAGGAAAGCATTGTAATTATTACTGGTAATATGCCAAATTTTGTTAACGTTTGCTTACTAAGTTAAAAGTTATTGCACGAAAACTATAACAAGCACAAAATGGTTACGATGTTGGTCCCAAAGACTGAGCCCATGCTGAAAGAGTTAAGGCCCACTGAGAGCTGCTTTGCTGTAGTATGTTATTCTTACTAATATTTGCATATCAGTCTCAAAACAGATATACCTCAGGGGCCATGAAGGCTACAGTACCAAGAAGCTGTCCCTTGAACTCCCCAGCTACTGTAGTGTGTGACACAAGTTTTGCAGCTGCACCAAAATCAGCAATCCTTAGATGATGGCCAGTACTATCCACCAACAAGTTTGCACCTGCAAAATCAACCAGAATACCTATTAACCTCTGATAAAAACAAACGAACAGAAATAACTTAATACTATATAAATAGATCACAATATTCTGACAATTTCTAACCGCTTTTACAAGAAATATGGTTTAACAAGTAAGGAAAATAAATATTTGATAAAAGCTAAAATCAAAATGTCTTATTTTTAAATATTTCTTTTGTTTTTATCTCACCAAATCAATTACTCAGGTGATACTTCTGACTAGTTATTTTCATATATCAAAGTGCATGAAAAGTTAGAACCTACCTTTCAAATCTCGGTGAATAATCTGGTTGTCATGAAGGTAGGTCAGGCCTGCGAGAACCTGTCTGGTATATCGAACAATCACCTGCTCAGAAAAGGGTCCATAGGTACCCAAGAGAGATTCTACTGATCCTCCTAGTGAAATAAAATACATGGAATTAATTTCACAATCATTTATCAATAAATTATACACTTAACCAATGCATCTGTCATCTTCATTCTAATTTCCTGTTTTCTTCTTACAACTAATTGGTGTGTCTACAATAGCTTATACTACATCAAATAAATATTTATATTAACAGTGCGGTTCTTTTCCCTTTATGCTGTTAATTTGAAGTCACTAAGAACAAACAACAATACAAAATCAAATAAATATGACTGTCATGTGGAATTACTTTTGGGGGAATAAAGTGTTTTCTGGTAATTAGAAAACCATTGTATATACAACTAGAAACTTGTGTATTCAACAAACAGTTATAGAAATTGTCATTCACTATTTAACTTCTGCTTGTAAGCTGTTTACAGTTGCTGCTGATAGAATGCTATTAATTATCTCATGATTTAATACCATACTAGCAAAGGTACCTGGCAATGTTGACTCTCAAACGTACTGCTATTAATGGGAGCATGGGCCACCCCTTCCAATATTTTGAGACAAAGCATATGAAACATCTGAATAATGAAAAGATAGTTACATGCAGCATCAAATGCCACCTTTGTTTGGTGTCAACTTCACCAATTTTGCTGCTGACCCCCTCATCGCTCAATGAGATGTCATATGCAACATTAAGTCAATAAATTTGGCTGCCAAATTTGAACCATTTTTCTGATTACTCATTCATTTAAACTTAATTTTTAGAGGATCCACCCTATTTCCTTTACTAAATTTCATCAAAATTGGTTTAGACAGCTCCTCACATCAACTTGTGAGCTGGACAGACAGACAGACAAACAAGTCTGCTTTATATACATATACAGATTAAGGTCTAAAAGTTATTAAGTTATGTGTTTGATAAGTGTTTAAACAGAAATATCAGTCACTTACAAACAAGCACAAAAAAATAAAATCAATTTCTGTATGATGTTGAGGACAATATTGTTTATAAAGCTCATGCCTAATGACCTTAAGTAGATCCATCACCAAATAATTCATTTTATATACCCCAGTTCCTTTGGGAAGAAGACTAATATATGTTGTTACAGAAGAATGTTGAGGATATCATGGATGGATCACGAGACGAGTGAGGAGATACCAAGAAGAGCAGGATCATACAGAAATATGATAACAACAATTAGAATTAAACTCCAGTTCTTGGGCCACATAATGAGAAAAAACAGGCTAGAAAATTTAGCAGCAACAGAAAAAATTGAAGGGAAATGAAGTAAAGGCAGACCTAGACTGACTTTCATCAACAGTGTCAGTAAATGGATGCACACGAGTGAGAAATAAGCATTTAAAACAACAAAGGATACTAATCTGTGAAATGCCATGATCACTAACATTCTAGCCAGACATGTAACTAGGTTCTATTATTTGCAGCATAACATTTCAACAGTTTACACAAAAACCTTAAAACACAATACACTTAAAATTACTTCACTTATCATTAGTAGATATTAAATATATTCAATATTTAAACACCTAACAACAACTATGGTATAAAACCTACCAGCCATCCACTCTATAAAGACATTATAGTGCCCACTTTGTTGAGTAGCTCCCAATATTCGTAAGACGTTGGGGTGATCCAACTTAGCCATCAAGACTATTTCCTCACTGATTGCATCCATCACCTTCTCCTGTTCCTCATCCGAGTTTCTGCAGAAAGACACTTGTTTCACAGCCATTAATGTGCCAGTTCTTAAGTCCCGAGCTTGGTAGCAGCTGCTGAATGATCCTGTACCCAACAAGTGTCCTTTTCTCCAGTGTATTTGTTCTAGATATGTTCCTACATTTGCATTGTTGTCTCTCTGATCCTCCTATAAAACATACAGTGGAAAACCGTTTAAACATCATTATTCAATCCACTTTCACATCTGTAATGAGTCAATTCATAAAGTGAAATAAATACTGATGAAAATGAAAACTAAATTCATTAAGTGTTTCTTTATCAGTTATTTATAAAAGCATTTAATAATATCAAAACATACATTTGGTTGCAACTTAATAATGATATCTTCTTCAGCAAACTCTCTAAGTCCAGGAATCAAAGGCAGTGAAGATTGTGATTCAGTCCCGATCCTCGACACTACTGACATAGTTGTTTTTTTGAAAGTCACGTCTTCTTTACTCTGGTTGGATGGCTCTGTGAAACACATTAGTTTGTACAGTTCAAATAAATGCAAATATATTACATAAATGTCCAAAAAAAGTCACTAATAATGTTAGGAAAACACGTAGATTCAAAAAATCAATTCAAGACAAAAAATACAAAACCCTATAACTCAAGCACTTTTGAAAAATGGACTTTTCTTCATCAGTTTGCCTCTAATGAAAAAAATACCACCGTTCAGAAATGTTTGGGTTGTAGGATTTTGTAATTTTTGTCTTAAAAAAAACAACAGAAAAAACTGAAATGTCTGTTATTGTAACTGCAACAAAATCTTGAATATAATGAACAGTGATATAAAGGTAATTAAACAACACAAACTTACCTTTAGTTTCTGCCATTCTTTCAGGAGTTGAGTCAGTGACTTGAGAAGGGGCAGCAGTTGGAGAGAGAGGAGTACCAATTTCAGAATGGAAAGAAATTGGAGGGTAACTACATGAAGGAGTACTTCCAGAAACCAAAGGAACAGATAAGTCGATTAACTCTCCAACAGTACAGTTTGTTTCTTCTTGAAAGCACACAGAAGGCACAAATTCTGACAAAATAGTCCTATCTGGCTTAATCAAACTAGTGCTACAATTTCTACCCCCCACCTTGCATGGTATATTAGGTACAGAAATGGGAGTTCCTAACACGTGAGACTGTGAAAGATCCTTTATCTTACAATTTCCTTTCACCATTTTCAGAGGTTTAAATCTGAGAAACAGTTTATTGTTCTGGATGTGAGATGGGCTACTAGGAGCACTTCGGAACCCATATCTTGATTTTGTATCTTTCGATGTTGCAAAAATGTCACATTTTGATTCACTGACCAGTTTTTCAGCCAACAAATATCGTTCATATCTTTTTTGTGTTCCAATATTAAAACAATTATCAAATGAACTCCGACCACTTATAAATTCTGATGGTGTTCTCGCTCTATTGACTTTGTCCTTTTCAAAATCATTCCACGGAGGAATGTGATTTTGTTCAGCAATATTTTGCAGCTTCCTGGTAAGGTGATTATGTAGACTAATGTTCAGACCCGAAAGCATGTCATACACATGACAAAATACAGGTTCTACATGAACACAAAAACTGGAAGCCAGGAGAAATACCCGTTGTGCTAGTTTGTTCACAGTGGTATGAGAGTGATCCAGCTTAAAATAGAAAAAATATAGTTATATATATATATATATATCATACAGGATTATAAAACATTTAGTAATCAAGATCAACACTATAATAAAGCATAATTAACTTCTTTTTAATATGACTTATATGACTTTTTTTACCTAAACTGCTTTTGTTTTATAATCTTATTTTTACAACTATATATATATATTACATGTAGAAGAAGTCTTGTTTTACTAAAGATTACCCTTTAACTATAACACTTATTTTACTTTTATGGTTATGCTACATATACTTGCTCAATACATATTTGCTGTTAGTCACAATAATTTTATTTTCCCTGCTTTACTGATGGTTAATTGCACTTCATGAGAAAGACACCCTTCATCCTGAATTGCCCTTAGAACTACTTCCTCTATCATCAATCAGAAACATTTGATGGCTGTTATTGCATACTATGGTCCAATACCAGAAGTTCTCTTTCAATAAACCTCTACAAAAGATCGTGATAGGTCAATCTCTGAGACTGCACTTCATGACATACTTTCCTGAGACTCTCTAATGTACATGGACATTGGCTTACAAGGCCAAGTTTAAGAAGACCAAAGGTACAAAATTGCCCACTTCAAATGCAATGGTGTTGACTCGAGAAGTTTGTGGTTCAACGAGACTTCTATAATTTCATGCACAAAAATCCATTTGAAATGACATGAAGGGACATTTGGTTGAATAAGACTGTTGTGATTACATGTTTTTCCTCTTTCTCATGAAACAAACCATTGATTTCAAGATGTGGCTGAAACCTAGTGAGCTTTATCAATTTCAAATTCTTCCTTAGTATCTTCATAGCCATGGCTTTCTGAATCTGAAGGTTTTTTTTCACAACCACAGCCTTCATTTTGTGGAAAAAGGGGCAATGCTTCGGTGTGGTTTTCAGAGCTTGCTGCCTATGTCTCTGTTTCCATGATCACTGAAAGTTCTCTTCTTCAGAAAGTTACTTCTTTTGGTTCTGAATTGTTTAACATACACATTGTATAAATATGTTTCCTCAGAAAGAGCAGCGACACATTAATCCTGGCTTAAGTCCACTGTGGTGACATTGGACTATTAAATACTCAGAACTTAGTCCAGAGACAAATATGTAGATTGAAATATTCATCCAACAGATCACATCTTTCTTACACAGATGAACATTACAATCAGATGATTATAACTTGAATTGCATTCATACAGAAATTATAAATTTAATTTAAAAAATATTAATTATTCCTAACAGTCAGTATAACTTACCGCTTTTACAGCTAGTTCCACAAGACCAATGAGTCGTTCATAGTTTACTAACTTTCTTGTATTTGCACCATTTATGTCATCGGTCTTTGCATAAAGTAGGTAGAATTCTTGAGGAAACTCCTCCATAAGCCTCTTGGCAACAACTAACCTTCCAAGCAACCACTGCCAACTTGGTACACTGTGTTCTTCATCTGCTTTGGTTTTCTCCAAAATACACTTCAAAACAAATCCTACTCCACCAAGACCAGTGTGAGCTATTGATCAAATTCCAAAATCTAATAATTATATGATTCTGAAGATGAATGAATGAATGAATTAAAAACTTTACTGATATGATTTATTTACATCTAGATCAGACTACCCACAAAGAATAACACAGCACTTTAATAACAAGTGACATGGTATTAACTCTAAAATCCATCATCCTGCCCCTGTAATAATCTCAGATAACAGACTAGAAATGTGTAAATGAAAAAAAAATAGATGCTGTAAGAAGAAAGGTGAGTAAATCCTTAACTGAAAGTTCTTTCAAAAATTCTTTTTGTTTTACTAACACAAGTTTAACGAATGAAATTTATAATTTGAAGATGCTCATCTTATTAACTCTATCTCTACGGGTCAAAGGCCATTTCATTGTGTTTGTAGACTCGCATTCAAAACTTTATTAAACTATTATTTTATGAATGTATGTCAATAAGTTGTAGATTATAATTCAAATTTTAGTATTATACATTAGTTAATTTCTTAACTTAAAATCAAATAAAAAAAATCCTAAATATCAATTTTTATGTATCATGTGGGTATGTTGAAGGCAGCATTGGTTCCAATTAAATGTTTGTGACATCTAAATACAAAGTCTATAGTTTCTTACCAATTAGGAACTCAAATTATTGATATTGACAAGCTAGAATATAAAATAAGAACCTCCTATCTTTTCTATTGGCTGAGATATCACTACATTTACTGAATCAAACAGTGGCCCCACCCATCTCTGTCCATTTTTGGAAAGACTTACTTATATACACCTATTTCTGTCTATGACGTGTGAATAACCAATCCAAAGTTCAGAATGTCCCCCTCGTGGCTTTCTCAGCCTTTTTGAAGCATTAGGGTGGCAAGCTCTTCCTTTTGGTGGTAGATTCCAAGCAGTAAGGTAAGACTTTTGTGAACTCTAAATTTCATATTCTTTAGACCTAAATACAGCTTAGTTACTAAGTTTGATAAATTATAGTGGAATTCTGTGGTATTGGTATAGTAATTTATGATTTTTGCCTCACGATTGCAACTTCTATAATGTTAGTCAGACACGACTAGAAGGTCAATATAATGGAAATAATAAATATATATATTTTAGCTTAAACATTTCTGTTTTTTATTATTTGTAGTCATTCTAGAACAAAAAAACATAATTTATATTTATTTCTCAATTTTTTTATGCTGGTTACGAGGTCGGTCAAATCGACCCAACCCATACAGAGATACAGTAGTGAAAATAACAGATAAAATATAAAGTATTTTTACTAAAAAAAAACATTTGAAAATTATCTGGACGATATAAAGATTTTGCATGTGAAATTTGAAAATGTTCTGATACTTATAAATATTTTAAAGCTTAAAATCAAAATTACTTTGTATGTTGGATAGTCAACATTATGAAAGAAAAAATTTCATGAGAAAATTTTTAATTAAAAAAGAAAGACTCATTCAAACAGGTAAAGATGATTATCAACAGTACTGAACAACCAGTCTAGAAATACTTGTTGTTCAAACAGGTAAAGATGATTATCAACAGTACTGACAACCACTCTTAGATATTTGTTGTTCAAATGGTAAAGATGATTATCTGTATCTATAAACCTATCTGTATTATTACAAACATGGTTAACTGCATTATCATATACTGCACAATGATGTTTAACAATTAAGACTTCTATAAAACAAATATCTATGGACTCCCTTAAAATTATCAATCCGGATTATAATTTACAAAGTCCATATCAGTAAGCATGGAGATAAAATCAATGTATTCATACCCTATCTACTGTAATCATGAAACACAAACCTCAATAAAAATCATTAAAGCTATTTTGTTAGAAAGCCAGTGATGATGATGATAACCAAATAACTGACTATACATATATATTATTATGTAAGCCAGTTTATGATACACAGAAAAACAGAGAGGATAAAAAAAAAAAGATAATCAGATAACCAAAGCACTTAAGAAGGCAGACCTCCTAACTTTACAGGCAAGTTGGGATTGAGCTGGAAGTATAAAGTATGAAAGCTGAAGAAACTAAGAAAATAGTGGAGAAGGGAGACTATTGCTAGAAAATATATAAAACCAGGGAATTAAAAAATAAATATAATAAAGAATTAAATCAGACAATGTTTTTATGTGACAACAGAAGATTTGACATCCTCTACAGATTTTTTGGGGAGTTTGTCTGACATAGTGATTGTATTAATGTTTTTATCCTGTACAAGATAAATGCAATGTGTTGTACAGGTAATCATCCTATAAGTTGAGAGAAATATGTTTGTTTGTCCTCTAACTACTCCTTGGCTCTTGGATTTGAATCTGTCTAACAGAAAGAACTATAATGCTTCTAAAAACAAGGGATATCTTGGTCAAGAAGAACAGATCATTTTACAGTGGCTGTGTTTCACTTATAAATTCTATAAATATATCATTTGTTAGTACTGATGTATTTTAGGACATTATTGACTAATGTTTTATTAGTTTATTTTTATAACATCTGTTGTATTTTATTTTAATTTTTAGTCAGTACAAATTTCCTAATACGAGATATTTTACTTCATATGGATGAGTAACAGGTTATGTAATGGAGATACTGCAGTCTGTCTTCCAGTACAAGTGGAAAGAAGATATCATTAAGGTTTATTTGTAGGGTGAAATAAAATTGGCAGTTTTGTAGGAAGAATTATAATGTAAAATGAAGCCCGGCATGGGGCTTCCAAATGTATCTAATGTCTTTGGTGTAATGTTTCCAGGTATGTGGTTTCATGATGCCTTTCATAATTACCCACAAAGATGCTGGCAAATTTAGGAATCACTTTAATAATATCCAGGACACTTATCGTAATATGAGTGTAATATTTATTGATGAATACAAAGTTATTTAAGGATAAAAAGTGATAGGCTAGATCAGTGATTCCCAACCTTTTCACTACCAAGGACCCCTTTTATTATTATTTTTTCCCCATCGACCATGTATTTTTGAAAGATTCCGTCCACCCAACAAATTGTTTTTATTAACTAATAATTAACTTGTTTTCCCATTTTTCACTATCAAATAAAAGACATATATAACTGAGTGTGCAATTAAAAAACAGCAGTATTAAAAACTTGCTTGTTTAATGAAATGGTTGGGAACCACTGGGCTAGATGATTTACTTTGTTTTGGATTCACCTGGATTTAAAGTAACATTCAGAATTTCTAATTTTTTACAGTTTGAATTAGTATTGAAAAAACAAATATTCATAATACAAAGACTATTAGAAAGCAGAGATCCTTTATCATTAATTTAACCAATAATGTTTATAAAATGTGTTTTATCTATCACACAAAAATGGACATATATTTTATCTGCTGGTCTAAAAGAACAGATATCTTTACAATGGCCATGTTTCTCTCATACATTCTATATAGAACAACTGTGTTTTAGTTTCTGTATTTTAAATAACAGATAAAATCTACCTACTCCATGTGTCAAGTTTGAAAGGTGTTTAGGTCAACTTGAATATTTTATAGTAGTAGTAGAGGCATGTAATTGATGATTTGAGCTAACTAGGTTGTAGGGTCATTAGTCAATATTTCGAAAGTTATTGTAGAGTATAGTATAGGTGTAGAGTAGCTAGGGCACGATGGACCATATGTGACTGGTCAACTCCAGTCCAAAACCAAGCAGCATCGGGAATAGAACTTCCAACCCATGGTACGAGGAGGGTCCACACTGTCTTCACCTCAAGTTAAGAAGAACAGAAGCATATACTGTACAAACTAATCTATGATACATGTACATTTGTGCAAATCCACAACCAACCACACATTCTGAAACCGGACATCCGAATGATGGCAAAATTAAATGTGCCAATGTGGCAAGTCACATCAACTTCAATCAGACTGGCACCCCACTGTGCATCATCAGCCTTAGGCAGTGAAAACACCCTGTGGTGAAGTGCAAGAGGAAGAACCATCACCCTGATCACTGCAAAGAAGCCAGAGCACAACGCCACCCTCCAGGTCGCACTGCACGGAAGTGGATTACCTCTAGATATATATAACAACTGCACCCTCTGGAAAGAACTGCACAGAAGCTAGGTGTAACATCAACCTCCGGGATCCACTGCACGGAGGTGAAAATCCTGTGGCAAATTAAGCGAGGAAGAGGAAACACAACCAACACATGTGAGGATTTATATTGATTGGTCCAGCTCTAATTTAAAACTATTCACTGGGAACCAACATCCATGAGGAATCCCAATCAAAAAGGTGGACTGCAATGTGATGGACCTACTCCAAATCAACACCATCCTCTGGATAGGACTGCACAGAAGTTGGAACTTAACAACACCTTACGGGTCCCACCACACGGAAGTAATTGTATCTAGAAAATAAAACAATTTCACCCTCCAGATAGAACTGCACAGAAGCTGGGCACAGCATCAACCTCCAGGAACTACTGCATGGAGGTGGAGTGCATGATTGGATGGAAGCGAACACATTCAAGACGCCTCCTCCATAGTCCACCACCTGTAAAGTGGCATGGACTTCCATACTCCACTAGAAGAAAAGGGAGGGTAAAATGTGGTGGAAAGTCTGGAGGAATGCCAACATCCAAGACAGTGACCATGAAAACCCTATTTTGAAAAGCAAGCTGCCCCTGATTTATTCAATAAAAGAGACAGCAGGGATGGGACGCTATCCCCTTCTGCTTTACCCATGTAAGTCCATTGGTTAGTACAATCTGGAACAGGGATATTAATGAAAAAATTATATCATGAGGAAAAGCCTACTAATGATCTTGTGGAACACCCCATCTCAACAGTGTGCATTATAGGCCATGGTATACATCATGCCTGTACAGTGCAGATTTGATATAGAAGAAGTATACTTGATCAGGCAATGCTCACCACTTAGCAGGATCTGAATCCTAAATGGGACATGCCCATGGAGAGGAAAATATATATAGATATAGAAAAGATAAATTACCTGGTCATGGCCGCACCAAACTTTGAATGATGGCAATAGTCAGAAGGCAGAACTCTGACGAGGAAGAAACAGCTACCCAATGAAGATAGTGAGAGATGGACGTATGAGGTGGAAGCCACATTCCTGACTGAATAGTTTCCTCCAATGGACGTGAGACTCCAGGAAAAAGGTAAAGTGTCCAATTGCAGAGTCCACACATAAATCTAAAGATTCAGGAAATCTCCAAAAACAAACAAGTAGAGGAAATGAGCCATCTGGAAGTCACAAAATGAGATGGTAGTTGATCGCGTGAAAAAAACAGAGTCATTCCCAATAATATCCCAACAGCAGTAAAACCACTTGTGAATGGATAGGGCCTGAAAAGGACAATAGCACCAATGAGGAGTAAGGAGGAAAATGGTATTCCCAAGAAACCCCTCAGGGGATCGATGGAGTGCCTCAGAAAAAAGATGTATGTTGAACAAGTACTGTAGGAGAGCTGTAAAGGAATGAAGAAGGTGGGGAAAATGGATAGAATTAACATGGACAACCCCCCACATGAGTAAAAGTGACTAACTGCTGGAAACTGAGAAAAAATTGAGTAGATTTTGAAAAACCAAAGCAGAAAGATCAGAAGTCCATGGAGGATGAGGCATGCTAACACCAGCACTCAACTGAGAAACAAAATGCTCAGCATGAGCCCTGATGTCAGGGGATGGAAAACAAAGGACTCTAATGATGAGTATCATATTAAAAAAGAAACAGGATCTTATAAAATCTGTGAAAATGGAACACATGAGAGGTACATCCAAAAAAAACCAGAGTTAAGCGTAGTAGATTTCGTAGGAGATGCATGGGAAGGCACGGCATAGGTAGGAAGGAAGAACAAAAACTGTCAAAATCCTCCTTATCATGAACAGGTTCAGAAAATCCAAGATGAACTCAAACATTGTTGGGAGAAAAAGAACACCTCATATAACAATCAATTTCCCGACAAATGAAACATACTCAGTAAGACCCCCACACAAGACCGAAAGCTGGTAATGGCAACTGAAGTAGCGGTAATAATAGAGGTTGCAAAACACAAGGTTAAAGATTGGGTGAGTGACATGCATTGTGAAAACTCACAAAGAGAAACTAAGTTTTTAAGAGAATTTATGAGGTTTGCCAAGTGCTGTTGGCAAGAAAAAAAATTAAAATCTGTGCAATACTGCTGATTTCTGTATTAAGGAGTCTTCTGTTTGAATCAATGGCCAAGATGGAAATAACTGGACTCATTTGATCTTAAAGAAGATGGAGTGGTATGTTCAATTATTTGTATCAAAATACACAACAGTATTAGATAATATGTACATGTAAAATAAATATATAAAACACAGTAGCAATTGTACAAGTTACAATTTTTGTACTCATTTTTTATGCAATATGTAATACAGCACTAATGCTATATGAACACAGGTTACTGCTACGACCTTTATTTTGTAAGAAATGAGAATGTTGATATTAACATTTTACAGACAAATAAAAGAACAACTTCTTTACGTACATATTCTTTCCCATTTCATTTCATATTAAAATCAAAAAGATCAGTCAAAACAACTAATGAATTCCTAGCTAGTATTGAGTGACCTTGAATGAAATAAGGTGCCACAACTGTTTTTACCTGGGTAAGAAGTGTGTGTTCCAACAGCCAGGGCTCCAGCTTGACCATGTGCAAGTTCTAGAAGAGCAGCTATACTCAGCTGACAGGTTCTCCTGTTAAGAAGTCCTTCATTAGACATACTAAACGAGTTATAAAACAAACATTTTAAGATAAAAAAAAAATCTTATCACAAGCAATTAAAATAAAACATTACCAAAAAAACAACCTACACAACTATAATTAGACTGTGTACTAAACCAGTCATACCTATTTCCATCTGCACACTTCAACAAAATGGTTCGAACAATAGGTTGAACCTGCTCCTGAAGGTGTAATACACATTCTTCAGCTTTACAAGGGCAACAAGCTAGTAACGCTCGAAGACATCGCTGAGAATTAGAAAATACAAACAAGAATTATAAAACATGACTGGAGTAGGAATGAACGAAATTCTCACATAATCTAGAATATAAGACAAAACTGTCTTGTTTAAAACTCGAAAGAAAAAAACTGGTAATGTTACAAATTTGTTTTCTCACATTTCTTATATAAACTTGAAACATTACCAAACTAATAATGAATTCTTGAATATTTAAATTAATCATCTATTATATGTGACAAAAAAATCACAAACACTTGGCTAATCTTAAATTAGATGTCATTTTCTTGTATACATGCATAAGCAATGGCAAGTGAAAGATAATTAAATATACAATTATGTATGCTTAACACTTTCACTATGGGTATCTTTTTCAGCATATATCATGAGGTTTTGGTGAGTT